GAACTAAGCGTCACCAGTTTCGCAAAATTAGGAGGTCTCGGAGCTTATAGTATAGATGTCGGTGTAGCTTGAGAGGTCAAAAGGCTATAATACTAAATAAATAGTGAACTTCTAACTCTTGAATGAATTCGGGACCACATACTTAAGACAAAGAAACTGCAAAACATTTGATTTGAGGCGAAAATGAAAAGAGAATGGTCAAGAAAAAGTAAAAAAAGAAAGTCTGGGTTTGGACATTGGACTTGTAAAACTGATTTCCAGAATGCACCTTAAAATGAGCCGATAGGCCGTGGCTCTAGGTTGTAAAATACGATGAATATTATTGCCAAATGCTTGGTTGAAGTCGAAAATGGTTTTAAATTAATTAAAATTAAGAGATTTCGAATTGTTTGGATCCTTGGTGTTATCAATCTTCGTTTGTTTATACGACCCACTCGCGGCAGAGGCATGCAGAGGTACCTCGCCGGCACGCTCGGTCAAAAGTGTGGCCACCGCCGGACGGATAGAATGGGCGCCATTTTGAGATGGCCCAAGCGGCGCGCGTTTAAGGCCTTGTCTCCACGAGCCGTTTCACGAGATTTGTCCCAGGGAAAAATCCCACTTACGAAGTTGGGAAGAATATTGAGTTCATCAATATTTTTCCCAGTACCAAGTATGGTACTTGTACCCCTAGGACCCACTGAGAGAAAAAGAAGAAGAAGTGAAAACGAATTGTGCGATATTTTAATCATTACTACATTGTTAATATTTGTTTAGTTAAAATAATGTGTCTAATTGTCAATTGAGTGCGATTAATATTTAAATCCCGGTTAAATACTCGACTTTAACTAATTTATCTTCCCGCGTAAACTAGTCGCAGGACTGTATGAGCCCCGTCCCGTGGATACGGTAACTGGGAAAAATCCCAGAAGTTTCATTCCTGCCATTCGAACTTGGGACAAATCCCATGAAAACGTCCCGTGGAGACAAGGCCTACATGGGAGCCCAAAATACGGACTTTTGGACTCGAATTTCGTGGGTTAATATTGCTCAAAAAAGTCTGGGAAAATTCCTGCGAACTATGTGCACTCTCTAGTTTCCAAAAATGCAAGAATTACGAATTACTGAACAAGCTCATTTTTACTGGCGTATAATTGAAATTTTTGTCAAATTTTAGCTTCATATCGATGTTATAGTGAGCCGCTATCTTGTTAGTTCATTTACGGCCGTGAGAGCATCATGAAGCCTAAATACTCGTTGACCAATCAAAAAGCAGCACAGTTTTCCTGTAGTAAAAAGATGCGAATGGCCACACTCTGTCTATAAACGTACTGTAGTTCACACCTTAACTAGAGGGACCTTGTACTAACAATTAGTGCAGTAGAGCGTCAATCCTGCATATTGTAATGTAAGGGTACTGAAAAGTACTGGATTTTTTCGTTGGAGAGTTCCTGAATTCTTTTAGAAAGAGCTGAATACCCACAGTGAAAGTACTGGTTGTTTGCCAACCTAATTTAGTCGACACCCAGGATTGAGAATTATGTTTTTAATTGAGTGGTCCTGCATTGAAATAAATCCATTTAACTAAACTTGCCCTCTTCTTTTGATTCTCACATTTCCTAACACCCACATCTAATATTACCTGTAAGAACAAGAGTGAAATGCCTACCTTTCTTCCAAATTAGTGTGATGTTGACCATAATTTTCCGTCTTGATTGCTGGGAAGGCAATTTACTCTGAGTGAATAAATTTAGATATTCTGGTAGCCTCTCAATCGAGGAATGACAGTATGATACTATTTGTGTACCAATCATACCATTCCACCATTTTTCTAAGACCAATAGAGAATACGGTGCATAGTCTGGATTTGCATTAATTACAACATCGTATGTTGACGTAGAGACCTGAAAAGTGCAGCATTTTAATGTAATAATACGTTATCATGATGTTGTTAAGTGCCTACTTTGGTAAAAGACTAATGTAGATTAACCAGTCAGGACAATAGAGTCTTACTGTTGAACGGCAAATGATAGAAGTAAGGGCAATATCTTAATCTGTCTACATGGACGTCTACAAAAGAAAATCTATTATGACAACCTCAATTTTTAGGCTATCGTCCCCAGTTTTCAGTAATGGCCGAATTAGCCACATGGCAAGGGTAAAATCTCAGCAAAGAGCCCACTTTGGTCGACTAAGAAGTTATTTCTGAATTACTTATGGTCATTGAATTCAAATAACATTCCAGTCAAAAATTCACTCGGACCTTTTCTGACGCCAAAAATTCAAGATAGGGGCTTATCGTAACTTGTACCGTTGCCTACGAGAATGGAGACTGGAGAGGCCGTAACTATGATTCTGTGACGTCACACTAGTAGATGAAACTCGGCCGCGGTTGAACACGCGTTCTTATGGGAGAACGCTTGCCGCGCGATGATTTCTCGCCGATATCTTTTTCAGGGTTGATCTGACGCAAAATTTCATTAGAACCTTTCCGAAAGAGGATGAAATTTCACTTTAGAAAACTAACTAACCCATTTGTGACATTGTCTAAAAATCGAGGAAATGAAAGCGTAATGCCGAAAATCGTTACTCCACTCAGATTCAAACGCTCGCGCAACTTCGGCGGATCTCGCGCAAGGCCGATCGAGGGCCACTCTGATTGGTCCACGTAGAGTACCTATATTGAGAGAGTATGGCCACTGGGCCCCATAGAGAGGCTAAGGACCCAAAAATGGCGGTGCTTTGTTTTGGTTTTTGTGGATGGGAGGGGGGTCATTGCCAACTTTTGACGGTTATCACCAACCGCACTTGCTGCCAACCTTACTACATCTAAGATAATTTTTCTCAAAAATTGCACACGATTAGTCTTAAAAATATGTAAAGATGTCGCAATAGTGCATTTGAGTAAATTTCTCGTTACGATAAGCAAAGAAAACTACATTTTGAGTCATTTTTTTTTGCATTACATTAATTTATGGCGTCCGCCATTTTTGGGTCCTAAGGGCTCCATTTAGCCTAAGATGGCTTACAATTAGCCAATCAGAGGTGGTAACCCCAGTGGCCATACTCTCTCAATATAGGTACTCTAGGTCCACGCAGCGACTGCCTCACTCATCGATGCACCGATGACCCGGAGATGCTTGTTGTTTTCGGTAAATATCTACTAGCTTGACATCACACAACTGACTAGGTACGGCCTCTCCATTAAAGGGAACTTCCATGAAATCCTTCCATTCTTCCATGAAAGGGAACTTTAGAAATGCCCAGAAAGTTGAGTAAAACAGCAAAAACATAATTTTGAATTTATTTTCTTAAATTTTGGTTGAACACACAGCCGTACCGGTTGAACCCCAAAATAAATTTTACGGATAAAGTAAGACGTTAGCTTTCATATTTGGAGCAAAACAAATTTCTTGACTATTAAGAATCCTAGTACTCCCTAATAGTATATCCTTCTTTTTTGGTACAAAAGGGAGGGAGGGATCTTGAACTATCCTCGAAACAATTTAAATGATTTTTTCAGAAATTAACAGTTTGAAATTTGAGGTTAGGGTCCCCGGTCCCCCTCCCCTTGATGAGCCACAACTGCCAGAAGAGAAAGAGTAAGAGAAGACCAGAAGAGAAGAGCTGAGAGAAGACCGCGCTCCCATTGGTCTAATTGACGAATATTATTCTATTTAAAAATAAAAACAAATTCTGTCAGAAAAAATAAGCATTTTTGACATTTTTTTGGTCGGAAGAAATTTCATTGGGAAAAAAGAAATTTCATTCGATGAAATTTCTTTTTTCCCAATGAAATTTCATTCGATGAAATTTCTTTTAGCAACTCTGAGTGGGGTGCAAAATCCTAAATTGTAGTTAAACCTATTTTTAGCTATTTGATACCCTATTGGATGAGTTTTTTTTACATATCTTGACAGGTATGATATATCATGATTTGGATACTTGGCATCCCCACCCCCCTCTTAAGAATTCTTAGAACGGTACAAAGAAATATGGAAGAAAAAAATGGACGGATGTCAAATGAGAAAATGGCACCATTCAACAGAAATTTTACGTCTTGTCTCCACGGGACGTTTCACGGGATTTTTCCCAAGTTCGAATCGCAGGAATGAAACATCTGGGCTTTTCCCCCGTGAAACAACACAACAAAATTTCTTCTTTTTAAGTTGTTCCTAGGACTCCAATATGACACTTAAGTAAAAGCTTCCACCTGACGCTAGGAGGCCAGTGGAGGGTCTCTTGTCTCTGATTTTACTACAGGAAAACTGTTCCGCTTTTTGATTGATCAACGAGTTTTTAAGCTTCATGATGCTCTCGGGGCCGTAAATAAACAAACAAAATGGCGGCTCACCGTAACATCGATAGGAAGCTAAATTTGACAAAAATTTCAATTATGCGGCAGTAACAATTTGAACTAGTATATCTCCGAATAACACACGAAAAACACATGAAAACATTGTTAAATCGCCTTTCACCTTTATTAGAGTACCTATATTGAGAGAGTATGGCCACTGGAGTTACCACCTCTGATTGGCTTAGCCATCTTAGGCTGAATGGAGCCCTTAGGACCCAAAAATGGCGGACGCCATAAAGTTAATGTAATGCAAAATGATTCAAAATGTAGTTGTCTTTGCTTATCGTAACGAGAAATTTACCCAAATGCACTATTGCGACTTCTTTACATATTTTTAAGGCTAATCGTGTGCACTTTTTGAGAAAAATGATCTTAGATGTAGTAAGGTTGGCAGCAAGTGCGGTTGGTGATAACCGTCAAAAGTTGGCAATGACCCCCCTCCCATCCTCAAAAACCAAAACAAAGCACCGCCATTTTTGGGTCCTAAGCCTCTCCATAGGACCTAGTGGCCATACTCTCTTATAATAGGTACTCTCTTATAATAGGAATATAGGTACTCTAATCACAGGAGGATGTGAGATGTGCATAACCTCAATCTTGCTTGCTGATAACAGCCATCTTGTTTGTATATTTACGGCCCTAAGAGCATAGTGTCAGCCTATTCGCTCGCGACCAATGAAAAACCGGAACAGAAATGGCCATACTCTGTCTATAAATGTACTCTAGTTTTGACGGAATTATGAGGCAAGTTCACTTTTCATGCGAAAAAGATCGATTTTTTTAATAATTGTATTGTCTGTTGTGAGTAAAATAGTTGATGGAGAAAATCTGACAGACACTGTATCAAAGTGTTATAGTGTTGACTTTAATAATCCGTGGTTGTTTTCACACCTAGCGCCTTGGGCTCTAAGTTTTAGTTTATGTTCTCCAATGTTTACAAATAGGGCAAGAGTACGCAGCCCGAATGGGGGAAAAGTACGCGCCCAAAGTGGGGGAGGGGGGTATAGGAACTTCGAAATAGAAGATATAGGCAACTTACTAAGTATCTTAATAAAGTTTTGTGTTCCTTTGTTCAATTTGGGCAATTACACTTTTTTATTTTCCTGTTTAAAAAAAATTGACTTCGAAAATTTTTCGGGAACTTGTGGAGACTGAATTATTTTTTTTTTCTCAGTGAAAGTGGTTAGGCACTATTGGCACCCTTTGAGACCAGTTTCAGTCGTTTTCCGGGATTTAACAGCGATTTGGAGCCCAGGAGATGTTTTTAAAAGACAAATTTCACCTGCGTACTTTTGCCCCATTAAATGGGGCAAAAGTACGCATTTTCAATTCTTTTTAAAAAATTCGTCACGGCCATGGATTTGATTTCTAAATTTGGACAACGCAGGGCATTTGTGCGCGAGGGCTTGCAGTAAGTGCCTGATCACTTTTCCCGCCTTAAAAGTCGATTCGGTCACGAAAATACGGGATAAACCAAAAAATGCGTACTCTTACCCCCACCTACCCTAGTCGGTACTGTGATTAGTATTTACTAACTCAATATACTTCCCAACTTCGCAAGTGAGATTTTTCCCTGGGACAAATCCCACGAAACGTCCCGTGGAGACAGGGCCTAAGTGCCAACTGATGATTGGCACATTCAGATTGATATAACTCATGTCAACACCAACTAGCAACATACCTTGCTAGCATCCATTCTTTTCTTCACCCAGTTCTTCAAATGCCATTAATAGAGTTAACTAGGGAGCACTTTTCTAAATTGGTGCAGATCTTTGGAGCAGTCAGACTGCTCCTGTACTAGCAGCTCTAGAGGACGGAAAGCCATACACCAATGCATGGAGTTTCATACTCTTCACAGAAAAGACCCCGCAAAACTCGTATGGGAAGCTGCACCATGACCGAATGCTAATTTATTTATGTCATTCGATTCTCCTGAAGATCCTGATCAAAAGTTACAATTGCGCCAATTTTCTACGATGCACAGTTTTCGCAAAAAAAACCGCTGAGAAGATTCAATTATTCGGCAACAATGAATAAAAATGAACAAAGCATTAGAGAACAGGCCTGATGTAAAAAAGGAAAAAACGTAGCGCATGTCCATCTCATCTGTACTGCCGACTCTGGGGCTATCTCCCTCTCGCTCTCGTCCGGTTGACGTTCCGACTTTCCTGTTCTTATGCTCCTCAAGAATCTGATTTGGATGGTCGAGCAAAACGGCGTGCGGAATCCGAGATAAGACTGCTGCTGGGTGCGAGAGTTTCCATGATTTCCTTGTTGACACACAGCCGCTTGTCAATCGAGTACTAAAATAAGGAATCTTTCTGGCTTTCTATCACCGAATAATTGAATCTTCTCGGCGATTTCTTTGCGAAAACAGGGCATCGTAGAAAGTTGGCGCAATTATAAATTTTGATCAGCATCTTGAGAAGAGTCGAATAACATAAGAAAATTAGCATTCGGTCATGGCGCAGCTTTGCATGAGAGGTGTGCCAGGTCCTTTGGTATCAAATATGGATATCTGAGGACTTCACGGCTATCCTACTCCAAATGTTAATGCTTCTAGCACAAAATTTTCAGCGGCGTTGGATTTCTGACTGATTAAGGGGCCTAAAGGACTCTATCCTTAGTGAAAGAATACAAGTTATAATACCTGCTGATCTCTAGTAGGGACAGATGCGGTCATTTTAGCTGCCACAGGTGAGACACCTCTTTTGAGGAGATTCCTCATTCTGTACATCGGACTATTGATGGACAGTTCGGTGAAATCGTGTATTGCCTTCAATGAATACATCCTTGCGATCCTCCTGAGTACCAAGCAAATTATTTAGAAGAAAATTATAGACTTCTCACAAAGGTATGCTCATCTTCAACAATCAGAGCAACAACGGAAACAAGTATTAAAAAAACAAGAGACTACTGATATGACAATCGNTTAATCTCAATCAAAAATGCCAATTCCCTGAGCTGAGCAGTTTAATTTTTCTCCGCGAGTGAAATTTGTGCTTGGCGCCATTAGGAGCAAAGAGTAGGGGAGAGGAGAGAGCAACAGAGCAGAATCATGGAGTCCGAGCGAGCTGGCAGCTGCACGCACGCTCCACCAGCTACTCCCGCTCTGTGATCGCCTGCACATCGTAGGGGGTCTTTGCCTGCAAAAACGCTCAATCCAATGACACATGACAGCCAGTGATACCAGGGACCAGTTCTATAGGACCCTGGACTCCCGTAAGAGTCAATGTAAAAATTCGTGAGCAGGTACTAGTGCTGCATTCTCGCGTAGGATCCTCGCAACTCACTGCTGTTATCAGTTGTTGGACTTCATGAAAATCCGTAGGATCGCGTATAACTGCAAAAAATCGAATATTTCACCGTATTATAAATTGCGGCGGGCCCCACCTTGTCGAAAGGGGTCGAAAAACGCCAAAAATATACTTATTTTTCAAGAATTCAGCCGCCTTATGTGTTATTTTTCAATCTCCGGCTTAAGGTGGATCTTCAGAAAAATGTTCGGCGTTCTGCCACCACGTCGCGCTAGCGGTCAAAGTGGGACTGCGACAGACTGCTCCGCAGCTGTCTTTGTCGGCTTGAACAGAACGGTCGCACGCGTTTCTCCTCCCCTTCTCTATGGAATGATTTCCGTAACCCTTGCGCGGGGGAGCGCTGCAGTCGCGGGCGGGTGACTGATTCGCGGGGGGAGACATTCTGGCGGGGGGGCGTATGTGAATCGCGCGCGGGCACCACTGTTGTGCGCGAGGGTGACTGATCCGGGGGAGGGGGCCATTGTTTCGATTCATCGAAGAATCGATACACTACAGTGTTGCCAAGCCTATACACCAAATTTTCATGTCTATGGTTTTGAAATAGACATTACAAGTTCGAGTTTGTTCTGAAGATGGAAGAAGAAGAAGTTACTGTTGTTTGTTTACATAGTTCACGAGGAATATGGAGTTAGGTTTTATGCTTCAAATTTATGCTGACTTTAATTTCGTGAATTACTGAATATCTTAATACGTAATTTGGTGAAATTAAACGCCTATTGATTTGGAGATGGATGCTAATGAGGGAATAGGTAAGTACGTAGAACTTATTTTATTTTATCGCTGACAGTCTTCCGGAACTGTAATTTGGGCAGCCCAAAACATTGCCACAGCAGATAACGTAAACAATCTGTAATCAACATAATCAAACAGTCAGAGCATGATTTTCTGTTGAATGGCGTTGTAAACTGATATGAATTTTGTCGACTCATTTTTTTCCCTAAACCTACGAAACACCAAGGAGGCCATTTCTTGGACTTTGGACATGAAACGACTTAATCTGTTTTTCCACAACCATACATCATTGCACCAATATTTTTATAGGTATTGGAAGAACTTTCAGACATTATCTTCCATAAAATTGTAATGTTTAAATATAGCGATGTGTAAGATTGTTTACGTTATCTGCTGTGGCAATGTTTTGGGCTGCCCAAATTACAGTTCCGGAAGACTGTCAGCGATAAAATAAAAT